GGATGATGAGGATGATGATGATGATGATGATGACCCCGCCCTCCCCTGAATCGACGCCCTCCACCTTTATCTGGCCTATTTATTATTTTTTGAAACACAACAAGACGAGTACACAGTAAACAAGATCACTATGCTGATCTCTGTATGCAAGGTGTAAAGATCCCTTACCTTGCCAGCTGGAGGGTGGCAGGGCCAGGAAGAGACAGGCTAGGTAGTTTCAGCTTAGAAGGCCTGGCAGAGAGCTGCTGGAGCCATCTTAGTTTAGGGAAACTCCAGCTCAGAGAGGGGGAGTGGCCTAGGCCTGAGCCAGCCCAGCAACAGCCAGGATTGGTTTGGAAAAGAGGGGCGGAGTTAGCCAGATGGAGGGAAAGAGAACAGCCTAGTTTTGACAGTTCAGTTTAAGAGGAGAGCAGTTCTGAGTAGAGTAGAGAGCAGTTCAGTTCTGAGAGAGATTAGAGTAGGATTTGGATGTATTAGGAGTTCGTTATTAGAATAGGCAGTTTGCCTGGAGTTTGCACAGTGAGATAGGCTGTGGCAAACTGGTCACAGCTATTTTAGGGAAAAATAGCTGGGTTTTTGTCTTAAGAAATTGTAACAAAAGAAAGAACCATTCTCTCAAGTAACCATTACGCTTCTAAGAAACAAGAACACTTCTATTTGTAACAGCCAAGCCTCTGAACCTGCATTCACTTTTTAATGTTGTAATTTGTAATCAATAAACTCTTTCTTGTTATTTTTAACACTTAAGCCTGAGTCAAGTGCCATTTTTGGTTGGAGTCCTTTTCTTCGTTGAATCAACCTCTTCATTTTTCCCCTCAAAGAAAGCCCTTGTTATTACACAGTATTTGGTGGAGTAAAAAAGCCTTTTATTGTTGTAAACAGCATTTTAGCATTTTAAATAGCTAGAGGGTTCGTTATTCTTTAGTTTATGGTGGCAGCGAAGGTTTTACACAACGAGACTTTTCCCTCAAACACTATAAGAGCCAAAGTGGTGTGAATTCCTTATTGAAGGAGGGACAGTGGTGGGATTGTTTGACCCCCCTGCCCAGACGGCCATTTAAGGAGGTTATTATACAAGGCACATAGAGGCTATTTAACATTCCAGCTTTTTCATGATGGTATTCTGGCCACCAGGGGAGCTGTTGCTTCACCGTCCATTTGTGACACTGATGGAGTACTTCCTCATTCTTTGCATGCTTGCTGGAGATTTTTATGGAGTCGTAAATTAGTTAAGTTAGCCTCCCCGCATAAGCGATACCTAAAGCGGTACCTAAATAAACCCTCACTACCTCTGAGGATGCTTGCCAAAGATGCAGGCGAAACGTTAAATCCAGTCGTGCCTGACTCTGGGACTCTGGTGCTCGTCTCCATTTCTAAGCTGAAGAGCCGACGTTGTCTGCAGACACCTCCAAAGCCACTGGCAGGACTGCAAAGAGTGCCCTTACCTTCTCGCCAGAGCGGTACCTATTGATCTACTCACATTTGTATGTTTTCAAATTGCTAGGCTGGCAGAAGCTGGGGCTCACCCCAGCCCCCAGATTCAAAGCTGTGACCTTTCGATCAGCATGTTCAGCAGCTCAGCGGTTTAACCGTCTGCACCACGAGGGGGGATCCCTTCTATGATTCTATGGTTCATCAAAACCCAGGCAAACTCTATGAAAAGACCCTCGCTGACTGACTTTCCCAACTTCCTGGTTAGTGCTATTCAGGCTGGCTAATTGCAGCATCCACACTTGCTTCTTTCTCCCACCATGAACATCATTCCACAGATAGATATACACCCCACTTGCCTCGCTGCCAACAAACTTTTGAAGATGCCATGAGCCACAGGTGCAGGCGAAACATCAGGAGAGCATCCTATTGTTACATATAGTGTGATCCACAATACCCCCAAGCACAGCAGTTCCTGGCGTGGAGAGGGAGTCCCCTAAGCAGAGGCCAGGTGGATGGCCGTCTGTTGGGGGGGATTGGGTGGTGTCTCTTCCAAGGCTAGGGCTCTAGTCAAGGGGCTCCTCAGCAACCCTCTTGGGCCACCTGTCTTGCCAAGGAGCGCCAGTGTTACACTAGCCTTGCAAGGGACTCCACCCGATCCCTCCCGACAGAGGGCCAGCCCCTTTCCCCCCGCTCCTGCTGACCCGCTTTCCTCCCCTGGCAGGCCTCGAACCCGCTGTGGCAGTCGCGTGGCTCGGCCTCGGTGTCGTCGGGGGGCCGGTTCCGGTGCCCGTCCTGCCGCCACGAGGTGGTCCTGGACCGGCACGGCGTCTACGGGCTGCAGCGGAACCTCCTGGTTGAGAACATCATCGACATCTACAAGCAGGAGTCCGCCCGGTAAGAGACGAGCCATTTGGCCTGCCCATTGTGCCCGATTTTATGCTATGTTTATTTATTTTACTTTGCGAATGTATGCATTTGATTCTGATGTAATTTTTGTTGTCTGTTTTTTGCATTTTATTTTGTCGTATTTGTATCTTGGGGTGTGGCCTCGTGTTAGCCACCCCGAGTCCCCTTCAGGGAGATGGTGGCGGGGTATAAATAAAGTTTAATTATTTATTTATCTGCTTATTTATTTATTATTTGGAACACAACAAGATGAGTCCACAGCAGACACTCTTCTGGCTGTTGTATTGGATCACACGTCGGACACTTCCCAAGTGTCTAGGACTGTGTGATGTATCGGCAAATAATGTGTGTAGATCCCAGTAAGGTGGCCTTCTGCAGCTGGCAGATGGTGTTTAAATGCAGGCCAAGGTCTTGAGGCACTGCACCCAGTGTGCCGATCACCACTGGGACCCCTTGACTGGCTTGTGCCAGAGTCTTTGCAGTTCGATCTTTAAATCCTCATCTCGTGTAATCTTTTCCAGTTGTTTCTCTTCAATCCTGCTGTCAACTGGGATTGCAACATCGACAATCCATACTTGGCTTTTTATCACGATCGTGAGGTCAGGAGTCTTGTGCTCCAAAACTCTGTCTGTCTGAATCTGGAGGTCCCAGAGTAGCTTGACGTGTTCATTTTCTGTACATTTTTCTGGCTTGTGATCCCACCATAGAATCATAGAATCAAAGAGTTGGAAGAGACCTCCTGGGCCCTCATCCAGTCCAACCCATTCTGCCAAGAAGCAGGAATATTGCATTCAAATCACCCCTGACAGATGGCCATCCAGCCTCTGTTTAAAAGCTTCCAAAGAAGGAGCCTCCACCACACTCCAGGGCAGAGAGTTCCACTGCTGAACGGCTCTCACAGTCAGGAAGTTCTTCCTAATGTTCAGATGGAATCTCCTCTCTTGTAGTTTGAAGCCATTGTTCCCTTGCGTCCTAGTCTCCAAGGAAGCAGAAAGGAAGCTTGCTCCCTCCTCCTCCCTGTGGCTTCCTCTCACATATTAATTATACATGGCTATCATATCTCCTCTCAGCCTTCTCTTCTTCAGGCTAAACATGCCCAGTTCCCTAAGCCGCTCCTCATAGGGCTTGTTCTCCAGACCCTTGATCATTTTAGTCGCCCTCCTCTGGACACATTCCAGCTTAGAGTCAATATCTCTCTTGAATTGTGGTGCCCAGAATTGGACACAATATTCCAGGTGTGGTCTAACCAAGGCAGAGTAGAGCATGGGGAGCATGATTTCCCTGGATTCTAGACACTATAGAGGCCAAAATCCCATTGGCTTTTTTTTTTTGCCGCCACATCACATTCCTGGCTCATGTTTAACTTGTTGTCCACGAGGACTCCAAGATCTTTTTCACACGTACTGCTCTCGAGCCAGGCCTCGTCCCCCATTCTGTATCTTTGCATTTCATTTTTTCTGCCAAAGTGGAGTATCTTGCATTTGTCACTGTTGAACTTCATTTTGTTAGTTTTGGCCCATCTCTCTAATCTGTCAAGATCGTTTTGAATTCTGCTCCTGTCCTCTGGACTATTGGCTCTCCCTATCCCACCAGTTCTTTGTGGCACAAGTTCCAATGAACCATCTGAGCAAGGGTGTTGTGCCTCTGCTTGGAGTCTGTCTGGGTGATCTTCTTGCAGCAGCTGAGGATGGGATCTAATATTTTTCATCTGCTTCCTTGCAAAGTCTGCATTTGGGATCTGTTGTTGACTTTTCAACTCTGGCTTTGATGGACTAGGTTCGAATGGCTTGTTCTTGGGCTGCCAGAATTATTATTATTATTATTATTTTTATTATTATTATTATTATTATTCCTGGCTTGTCTGCTTGCTTCCCTCCTTCTCTCTTTTGCAGGCCGCTGCACGCCAAGGCGGGTCACGAGCCATGCTGCCTGATGTGCGAGGAGCATGAGGAGGAGCGCATCAACATCTACTGCCTGAGCTGCGAGGCACCCACCTGCTCCCTCTGCAAGGTCTTCGGCGCACACAAGGACTGCCAGGTCGCCCCGCTCTCCTCCGTCTACACCCGGCAGAAGGTCAGGCATAGCGCGGGGCTAGGCTAGGCCAGCACAAGGGCAACCACACTCCGGGGCAGAGAGTTCCACTGCTCAACAGCCCTTCTGGAATTCTCTCTCTGCCTTCCCCGGGGAGGAAGGAGGGAGTGTGGTGGAGGGAGACTCCTTCCTTCTTTGGAGGCTTTGAAGCAGAGGCTGGCTGGCCATCTCTTGGGGGTGCTTTGAAGGCGATTGTCCTGCTTCTTGGCAGAATGGGGTTGGGCTGGGTGGCCCACCAGGTCTCTTTCAAATCTAGAATTCTATGAACCAGCAATCTTTTAGCCAGCGAGTTGAGCAGCTCAACAGTTTAACCCGCTGCACCACCAAGAGCTGTGAGAGGAAAAATGGGTAGAAATAAACATAAACATAATAATTATAATGATGATGATGATTGTTGCAACCCAGAGCAGGAAATGAGACCATAAGATAACAATCCACCACACTTGACTGTGGGGAAAAACAATCCCTTTTTATTGATGCAAAATGGTTACAAAATAGAGGAAAATGCAAAGTCAAAAAGCCACAGTAAAATTCAGCAGTTAAGAATATCCATGAATTAGATCAAAATCCAAAAGCAACATTGTAAAAACCTGGAACCTGTTAGCAAACCACTAACCGTCCTTGGAGCACTAGAAGCCTCTTGGGATGTAGGCCACAGGAAACAGGGAAACCTGCCAAGGTAATGCCTCAGTCTAAACAAGGCCTGATCTAACGAGACAACCCAGCGAGAGGCACTTAAAACTGAAGAAACTATTTCGTGACACTCCTCCAGGCTTTGAAGCCTGTGTTTCCTTTTCCCTTAATCTGCTTGACCTTCGCAGACTCTGCGATTCACTCCTGTTTTTCCAAATCTGTCCTTTTCTATCCTCATTAAGGAAACCAGGTGCTATCTCCTCTGGAGAGCTATCACCGCTTGGCTCTGCAACATTCTCATCAGAATGTGTAGTTTCACTTTCCAAGCCACTGACCTCAGAATCATTTTCATTACCCTCAGGGAGAAATACATGTTCAGTAGCATCAGGAAATACAATCAGAGAATCAGGTTCAGGTTCACACGCAGGCTGAACCCCAACAATGATGAAAGGTGGAGCTCACTTGTCCCCTGTTTACAGGCAAGATACCTCCACACTTCAACTCCTGAATGTTTGACTAAACCTTATCACATTGAGCAATTTTCCAGTCGTAGGACACTTCAGCCTCTTTTCAAGCATGGAGAGGAACGGAGCTCCTCAATCACGTGTGTTAAACTGCTTCCAGGCCCCATGCATAGCCCTCCATGGTTGGAAAGAGGCATAAGTGCCCTGAAAGGAGGGAACTCCACAATCGACCTCATCACATGGAGACATTTCCCACTAGTGGGACACTTCCGCTTCTTTCCAAGCACAGAGAGGCACAGAGCTCATCACATGTTCCAAGGTTGAAAAGAGTCAGAAATGTCCTGAAAGGAAGGGACTCTGAACATGGGATAGCAATCGGTGTCCACGAGGACTGCCAGGTGGCCCCACTCACCACCGTCTACGGCCAGCAGAAGGTCCAGCAAAGGGGAGGCTATGCAAACACAAGAGGCACACTCTGGGGCAGAGAGTTTCACTGCTGAACAGCTCTGGAACTCTGCCCCAGAGAGAGTGTGGTGGAGAGTCCTTCTTTGGAGGCTTTGAAGCAGAGGCTGGGTGGCCATCTGTCAGGGTGGCTTTGAATGCGATTTTCCTGCTTCTTGGCAGAATAGGGTTGGACTGGATGGCCAAAGAGGTCTCTTCCAACTCTAGGATTCTAGGATTCTGTGATTCCGAGCTGGGCATGGACCAACTTGGGACCACCCTCCCTCCCTCCCTCCCTCCAGGTGTTTTGGATTCAACTCCCACAATTATGGGATTGTGGGAGTTGGAGTCCAAACTATCTTGAAGGAGGGGGGGAGGGAGGTCCCAAGTTGGTCCATGCCCAGTTTAAGGGGAGGATGGGGATAACTGTTGACTAGCCATCTTATCACATTGAGAAATGCCCCAGTCGTAGGACACTCCGGCCTGTTTCCAAGCACAGAGAGGCACAGAGCTCATCACATGTTCCAAGGTGGAAAAGAGGCCGAAATGTCCTGAAAGGAAGGGACTCTGAACCCAGGCCAGCCATCCTGTGCTGAGCTTCTGCCTCTTATCACACTTTCCTCCCATCTGTACCATTGAAAAACAGGTGGGATAGGAACCATCAAGAGCAGTGTTTCTCAACCTTCCTAATGCCGTGACCCCTTAATACAGTTCATAGAATCATAGAATCAAAGAGTTGGAAGAGACCTCCTGGGCCATCCAGTCCAACCCCATTCTGCCAAGAAGCAGGAATATTGCATTCAAATCACCCCTGACAGATGGCCATCCAGCCTCTGCTTCAAAGCTTCCAAAGAAGGAGCCTCCACCACACTCCCTCCGGGGCAGAGAGTTCCACTGCTGAACGGCTCTCACAGTCAGGAAGTTCTTCCTCATGTTCAGATGGAATCTCCTCTCTTGTAGTTTGAAGCCATTGTTCCATTGCGTCCTAGTCTCCAAGGAAGCAGAAAGGAAGCTCGCTCCCTCCTCCTCCCTGTGGCTTCCTCTCACATATTTATACATGGCTCATCATATCTCCTCTCAGCCTTCTCTTCTTCAGGCTAAACATGCCCAGCTCCTTAAGCCGCTCCTCATAGGGCTTGTTCTCCAGACCCTTGATCATTTGAGTCGCCCTCCTCTGGACACATTCCAGCTTAGAGTCAATATCTCTCTTGAATTGTGGTGCCCAGAATTGGACACAATATTCCAGGTGTGGTCTAACCAAAGCGGAATAGAGGGGTAGCATTACTTCCTTAGATCTAGACACTAGGCTCCTATTGATGCAGGCCAAAATCCCATTGGCTTTTTTTGCCGCCACATCACATTCTGGCTCATGTTTAACTTGTTGTCCACGAGGACTCCAAGATCTTTTTCACACGTACTGCTCTCGAGCCAGGCATCATCGTCCCCCATTCTGTCTCTTTGCATTTCATTTTTTCTGCCAAAGTGGAGTATCTTGCATTTGTCACTGTTGTGGTGACCCCCAACCAGAACATTATTTTTGTTGATACTTCAGAACTGTAATTTTGCTTCTGTTATGAATTGTAATGTAAATATCCGATATGCAGAATGTATTCTCATTCATTTGGCACAAATACTCGATGCGCCCAAATTTGAATACTGGTGGGGTTGAGAAGATGATTGATTTTGTCATTTGGGGGTTGTAGTTGCTGGGATTAACAACCTCAGATATGCAGATGACACCACTCTGATGGCCGAAAGCGAGGAGGAGCTGAGGAGCCTTCTAATCAAGGTGAAAGAAGAAAGCGCAAAAGCCGGGTTGCAGCTAAACATCAAAACAAGAATGGCAACAAGAATGATTGACAACTGGGAAATAGAGGGAGAAAATGTGGAGGCCGTGACAGGGTTTGTATTTCTAGGCGCAAAGAAGACTGCAGATGCAGACAGTGGCCAGGAAATCAGGAGACGCTTCCTTCTTGGGAGGAGAGCAAGGTCCAGCCTCAATCAAAGAGTAAAGAATAGAGACATCAGACTGGCAACCAAGATCCATTGCCTAGTCCAAGCCATGGTATTCCCTGTAGTCACCTACGGATGTGAGAGCTGGACCTTCGGGAAGGCTGAGCGAAGGAAGAGAGGCGCTTTTGAGCTGTGGTGTTGGAGGAAAGTGCTGAGAGTGCCTTGGACTGCGAGAAGATCCAACCAGTCCATCCTCCAGGAAAGAAAGCCCGACTGCTCACTGGAGGGAAGGAGACTAGAGACAAAGTGGAAGTCCTTTGAATGCCACATCATGAGGAGACAGCCAAGCCTAGAGAAGGGAATGATGCTGGGGAAAGTGGAAGGCAAAAGGAAGAGGGGCCGACAAAGGGCAAGAGGGAGGGATGGCATCCTTGAAGTGACTGGACTGACCTTGAAGGAGCTGGGGGTGGTGACGGCCAACAGGGAGCTCTGGCGTGGGCTGGTCCATGAGGTCACGAAGAGTCTGAGACGACTGAACGAATGAACAACAACAACACAATATCAAAGAGCATTCTGAACTCCACCAATGATGGAATTGAACCAAACTTTGGGACGCAGAGCTCCCATGACCAACAGAAAATACTAGAAGGGTTTGGTGGACATTGACCTTGGGTTTTGGAGTTGTAGTTCACCTACATCCAGAGAGCACTGATACATCTGGACCAAGCTTGGCATGAATACTCAATATGCGCAAATGTGGACACTGGTGGGTTTGGGGAAGATAGACCTTGAAATTTGGGAGTTGTAGTCGCTGGGATTGATAGTTCACCTATGATCAAAGAGCATTCTGAACTCCACCAATGATGGAATTGAGTCAAACTTCCCACACGGAACCCCCACGACCAACAGAAAATACAGTGCTTTTCTAATTGTCTTTGGTGACCCCTCTGACATCCCCTCACGACCCCCCCCCCAGGGGTCCTGACCCCCAGGTTGAGAAACACTGATCAAGGGCTTCCCATCCTGTTTCATTGCCCAACCATCAGCAGTCTCTTGTATCCTATGGGATTCGATGCAGAATAATAAGTTTCCATGGAAAAGAAATGGTTTTAAACTGGTGAGAGCTGTTCAGCGGTGGAACTCTCTGCCCCGGAGAGAGTGTGGTGGAGGCGCCTTCTTTGGAGGCTTTTAAACAGAGTCTGGATGGACGTCTGTGGGGGGAGGGCGTGTGTGCTTTGAATGTGATTTTCCTGCTTCTTGGCCGAATGGGTTTGGACTGGATGATGGCCCACCAGGCCTCTTCCAACTCTAGGATTCCGTGGTGTCCATCTCTTTAATGTAAGAGGCCGTGGGCAGGGCAAAGGTGTTGTTGGGGGACACCTGTTCAACCCCACAACCATTGTCTTGTGGGGTTCCTCAGGGCTCAATATTGTCTCCCATGTTATTTAACATCTACATGAAGCCGCTGGGGGAGATCATCCGGAGTTTCGGGGTACGATGTCATCTGTACGCGGATGATGTCCAACTCTGTCACTCCTTCCCACCTGCTACTAAGGAGGCTGTCCAGGTCCTGAACCGGTGCTTGGCCGCTGTGACGGTCTGGATGAGGGCGAACAAATTGAAATTGAATCCAGACAAGACAGAGGTCCTCCTGGTCAGTCGCAAGGCCGAACAGGGCATAGGGTTACGGCCTGTGTTGGATGGGGCCGCACTCCCCCTGAAGACGCAGGTTCGCAGCTTGGGTGTGACCCTGGACTCATCGCTGAGCCTGGAACCCCAGGTTTCGGCGGTGACCAGGGGAGCATTTGCACAGCTAAAGCTTGTGCGCCAGCTACGCCCGTACCTTGGGAAGTCTGACTTGGCCACGGTAGTCCACGCTCTGGTTACATCCCGTTTAGACTACTGCAACGCTCTCTACGTGGGGTTGCCTTTGAAGACAGCTCGGAAGCTCCAACTAGTCCAACGCTCGGCAGCCATGATTTTAACAGGAGCGGAGCGCATGGAGCATACAACCCCCCTGTTGCGCCAACTCCACTGGCTACCGATCTGCTACCGGGCTGAATTCAAAGTGCTGGCGTTGGCCTTTAAAGCCCTAAACGGTTCCGGCCCAAGCTACCTATCTGACCGCATCTCTGCCTATGAACCCACCAGGACATTGAGATCTTCCGGGGAGACCCTGCTCTCGATCCCGCCTGCTTCTCAAGCTCGGCTGGCGGGGACGAGAGATAGGGCCTTCTCAGTGGTGGCTCCTCGGCTGTGGAACGCCCTTCCTACGGACATTAGACTAGCACCATCTCTAATGGTATTCCGCAAAAAGGTGAAGACCTGGATGTTTGTGCAGGCGTTTGAGTAATTTAGTGCAATCTGGTAATGGAACATAGGAATGGAACAAGGGACGACGAACCTGGACTACGCTTGGATGATGAGAAGATTGGGTACGGTTGTTTTTTGTAATAATTGTGCATTGTAACTGCTTATTGGTAATTTATGGATAATGTGTTAAGTCAATTGTTATATGTTGTATGGAACCACTGCTGTTTCTACTGTTTCTACTGTTTGTGAACCGCTGTGAGTCGCCTTCGGGCTTGAGATACAGCCGTATAGAAGCAAAGTAAATACATAAATAAATAAATAAAGGGTCTCTTGGTTTTGGGATATTGTTGTTCCTCCTGATTAAAAACCAAAAAGTAATATTGACCTTGTGATGGGTGTAAGGTGTATTGTCAGCTCTTAGGTTTCTAGTGTGCATACGATGGGGAGGCAGAAGGCAAAATGGGACGTGTGATGAGGCAGCTAAAAAAGTAGAAGCATGGGTCATGTAGTGCCACCAAAAGGGAACCGGGAGACTTGCCTCCTTCTTCATCTCACCTTGAGAAGTTTGTTGTTGTTCTACTTTGAGCAAACATTAGGTCTGTGGGGGATACTAAGGCCACCTTGCGACCTTCTCTCCCTCCATTCTCAAATATCGACCCCCTCCATTCCCCTCCTTCCAGGGCGAGCTGAGTGACGGGATTGCGATGCTGGTGGCCGGCAACGACCGTGTCCAGGCGGTCATCTCCCAGATGGAGGAGATCTGCAAGGGCATCGAGGTCAGCAGGCGTGGGGGGTGGGGGGGGGAGAGAGTTGGCTTTGCCTTTTGGTCACGAATACTTCTCAAACTTTACAAATGTCCTTTTATTTAATTCACAATGAGACACTATTACACACTTCACAGAGAAAGAAGGTAGGAACACACAGACTCTAAAGCTACATTTAGATACACAAAGGAGAATTATATTTCATCCAGCATTGACACACATATGCACATTCACTCCTCACCATGCATGCATTACCATCTCTTCTTCCTTCTCCTGGAAAAGAGATCCCGAAGTAGGCCAGATTGCGTTCCCAGCAAATCTGCGATTCTGCGAATCCACCACTTTCCTCCTTCTCTTGGAGAAGGTGGCGGGTGGACCAGACTCTGCTGTCTGCCACACTTCTGGAATAGTAAAGCGTCTCTTAGATATTTCTGCTGATGTTGTTCTCAAAGTTGTAAATGAATGAGAGGCGTTTTTCCACCTAAGACATCCTGACTCCATCAGTTCCGGACAGATGTTGACTTTTCTGCCTTAAGTGATCATGGGGTTTCCTTCTTAAGAAGCCTTGTTTGTTTCCTTCTCAATTTAAGGAACCTTGTAAACACTTCTTTATGGCCCAGCCATAAGGTTTTAAATTCTGTGTGCTATTGTTTATATGGAAGTGATATTAATTGTACTGTTTTGTTTGCTTCCTGTTTTGTTTTTACTGATGTGTTGTTGGGCTTGGCCTCATGTAAGCCACCCCGAGTTCCCTTGGGGAGATGGTGGCGGGGTATAAATAAAGTATTATTATTATTATTATTATTATTATTATTATTATATTACTTACTTAAAAGAGCCATTGTCTCTGGTAATGTAAACATGTTGTTTTCCGCCGCCGAGTTAATCATTTGTCTCTCATCATCAATGTCAGGAGTTCATCAAATTTTATTTATTTATTTATTTATTTACAGTATTCATATTCCGCCCTTCTCACCCCAAAAGAGCCATTGTCTCTGGTAATGTAAACATGTTGTTTTCCACCACTGAGTTAATCGTTTGTCTCTTGTCATCAATGTCAGGAGTTCAGCAACGTTTATTTATTTGTTTGTTTGTTTGTTTACAGTACTTATATTCTGCCCATCTCACCCCAAAGGGGACTCAGGGCAGATCGCAATATACGCATACAAGGCAAACATTCAATGCCGTTTTTTGACATACAAGATATACAGACAGATAGAGGCCACTCAGCAGTTCTTCCACCGGATCCTGGAGGTTGCTTGATTCGGCCACAGGGAGAGCTGTCACTTCATCCACTATGATGCCGAGCCTTTTTTATCGTAGTATTTCCTCCTTGCTCACAGTTTTCAAACTGCTTAGGTTGACAGTGAGCTGGGCAATTTATTTTTAACAGCTATTTTTTAAACAGCTATTTACAGTTGGGTGCTCAACCTGAACTTGCCACTTTTCAGTCGGCAGTGATTTATTGCAGCTGATTAACCAGTTGTACTGTCAGCCCGGCTCATGAATTCTCCTTTTGTAGTTTTCCAGGTGTTGCAACTCAGAGTAAGCTTCACCTTGCTTCCAAACACCACCACACAAGAGCTGTAGTTTTATAGTTTATTGAGGAAAAAATCCAAGTCAAAATAAAGAATAAGCATTGCAAAGTTCCAAAGATTTAGGTTAAATGCAGAATATAGTTCCAAAGATCTTCAGGTAAAAACAAGAGGCACAACCTTATAGTCAAAGTTCAAAACAGTCCAAGGTACAAGCAATGAAACAATTGCCCCAAGAATCACAATGCAAGAAATTCCAAGCGTGCTGCTTTCCAGGCTAAGATTATTCCATGAAACTTTCAGGCTAATAAGCTACGTTGAACTGACGCTTTCCCTTGGTTTGCAAGAAGCCTAAATACCTTTCTAAGATCAAAACATTAGGCTCTCACCAACATGAAAGCATTGCGATGACCTTGGCCCGAGCTGGCTTCCCGTCTGCTGGCCAGGCGAGAACTCTGCCTGACCCGCAAATCAAGAAGAGCCTGCCAGGTCAGGTCACTATCAAGGCTTTCAGCACTTTCAGTATCAGCGTGGGAAGGAGGCAAAAGCCTCCCCACCTGTTCGCTATCTCCTTCGTTAAGATTCTTTTCTCCTGAGAACCGCTGTGTTGTTGACTCTCCACTGTCTGTGGGAGCCTCAGAAAAAGACCTAGAAGCAGGCCCAGAGATCTGAGGCACAGAAAAAGAGCCAGGAATCTGAATCCCATCATCCTTATCGTCAGGGAACATCTCAGCCACACCACCAGGCCTCGATCTTAGGATGGCACCTCTATCTTCTATAGGTTCTAGGCATACACCTTTCATTCAATTTAATTCAAACCATATATGGCATATTAATGACACTTTGCCCACGCTTTTGCTCGCAGGAGAACTCCCGCCGTCAGAAGCATCTCCTGGCCACGCGCTTCGAGTCCTTGTGCGCGGCGCTGGAGGAGCGGAAGGCGGAGCTGGTGGCGGAAGTGGGGCGCGAGGCCGAGGCCAGGCTCCTCCACGTCCGGACCCTCATCCGCACCTACGGGGACCACCTGGAGCTGGCCTCCAAGCTGGTCGAGTCCGCCATACAGTCCATGGAGGAGCCTCAGGAGGCCGCCTTCCTACAGGTGGGAGGGGAGAAGGAAGGAAAGGGAGGGGGGCATGGAAGGGGAGGGGCTTTATGACTTTTGACCCCATGCCTCTCCTTTTCCTTTCTCTCCCCCGCAGCAGTCCAAGGAGCTCCTCCAAAAGTGAGTCCTGCACTCGGAAAGCTAAATAGCTGCGACCATTATGTGAAGAATTTATAGAGTTGAAAGTCAAATGGGGTATTGTATGGTTTGTGGGTAATATGGCACTGCTCTAGCAGCATCTTCTCCTGATGTTTCACCTGTGAAACCGGACAACCCTCCCCTTCACGCCCCTCCCCTCACAGAGGGGGTCTGAAGCCCCTCCCCCAAATACACAACCCCTCCCCCCAACCCCACAGGATCACAGAGACGTCCAAGGTGCCAATGAGCGGCCGCCCGGAGCCCGGCTTTGAGAACATGGACCGCTTTGTTGTCAACGTGGACCATGTGGCTGAGATGCTACGGACCATCCAGTTCCTGCCAGGTGAGGAGGGGGCGGGGCCTGGGGGCACTGGGCGGGGCTTCCACATTGACCCCACTGCTGTCCTCCTGAGGGGTTTGGAACGAAGGACCCAGAATCCTAGTACTGAATCGGGTTCCTCCAGAGGGCATCTAGTCCAGACTTGGACTCCCATAATATAAATGATATATTATAGAATTAGAATTATATAATAATTATAATTAAATGATACATATATATAACATATTGTATAATATATATATAACTATAATAATTACTATAATATGGTAACAATAATAATATAATAGATAACATAATATATACAATATAATGTAGATAGAATTAGAATTATATAATAATTATAATTAAATGATATATATATATATAACATATTGTACTATATATATATATATATATATATAACTATAATAAGTACTATAATATGGTTATTATAATAAGAATAATATAATAGATAACATAATATATATAATATAATGTAGAATCTTTATAAATGTAATAATTATAATAAATGCTATATATATATAAAAATTATAATATATATAAATATATAATAATTATAATATGGTAATAATATATAATATAATAGATAAATAATAATATAATATAATGTAGAATTAGAATTATATAATAATTATAATTAAATGATATATATATATAATACATATTGTATATATATATATATAACTATAATAATTACTATAATATGGTAATAAATAATAATATATAAACATATTATATATAATATAATGTAGAATCTTATATATAATAAATTATAATAATATATAATATAATAATTACTATAATATGGTAATAATAATAATAATATAATTATAACATAATATATACAATATAATGTAGATAGAATTAGAATTATATAATAATTATAATTAAATGCTATATATATATATATAACATATTGTATATATAATATATATATATATATAACTATAATAATTACTATAATATGGTAACAATAATAATATAATAGATAACATAATATATACAATATAATGTAGATAGAATTAGAATTATATAATAATTATAATTAAATGCTATATATATATATATAACATATTGTATATATATATATAATATAATATATATATATATAATTATAATAATATATAATATAATTATAATAATAATAATATAATAGATAATACATAATATATACAATATAATGTAGATAGAATTAGAATTATAATAATTATAATTAATTATATATTACATATATATAATATTATAATATTAATATAATATTACTATATAATAAATTATAATATATATATATAGCAATATATTTAATTATATATATACAATATGTTTATATATATATATATAGCATTTAATTATAATTATTACATAATTCTAATTCTATCTACATTATATTATATATATTATGTAATTATATTGTATATATTATATTATATTATTATAAATCTATTAGGTTATCTATAACTATAGGTTATCTATCTAACATAATAGATAACAGAATAATATATATAACATAATGTAGAATTAGAATTATATAATAATTATAATTATATGATATTTATAATATGTTGTATGATTATAGTGATGATGATGATGATGATGATGATGATGATGATGATGATGATGATAATAATAATAATAATAATAATAATAATAATAATAATAATAATAATAATATTCAGGGAGCTGTCCAGTCTCTTTTGCATTTATTTGAATTTTTAAAGTTACTTGCGGGCTCCCCCTAGTGGCTGACCGAGGAATGGCACCATTGGCCCCTTCTGTTCTTTCCATTGGACTTCAGTCTCTAAGTAGAGACCCTTTGTTGAGTCACACTCTCTCAGCTTATGGAGTGGGAGTTACATGGACATAGAGGTCAAGCTGTGCTTCCTCCAGTTTAAAACCATCTCTCCTTGCTTATAAAGAATCCGCCGGGGAGGAGGCCGAAGCAGAAGGATTGGGACCGGAAGGAGGAGGGGGTGACGCAGGAGAGGAGGGACCCCCAGAAGGCCATGAGGCCCCCGAGGCCACAGAAGGTGAGCAAGATCAGGCGGAAGGGTGGGCAATGAGAAGGTGGAGATCCCGCAGGGTCGCAGGGCTTTCCTTATGCTTAGCTTTCATCAGTTTCTGCTCCCGGTTGTCCTCTAGACACCTGGACCTCCCCCCCCCCCCCCCCAATACAAAATAGGAAATTGGGTCACCCCTTTTTTTACTGTATTTCATTGTGCAATAGTCACCATTGCATAATAGTTGCACACCAATTATTTGAGTGTTAGAAAAAAATTCAATTAATTTATTTTTGTTTTCCTCATGTAATGGTCGCACTCCTGTTTTGGGCTGATTTTCTTCCTGGTTGTCCCTTAGAAACCTGGACCTGCCCCTCCCCATACAAAATAAGAAATTGGGTCACCCCCTTATTTACTGTATTTCATTGTGCAATAGTCACAATTGCATAATAGTTGCACGCCAATTATTTGAGAGCTAGAAATTTTATTTATTTATTTATTTATTCCTCATGTAATGGTCGCATGCCTATTTTGGGCAGATTTTCTTCCTTTTTTTCTTGGAAGGCAAAGTAGTTTTAAAACTACAAAATGGAGGTCCCTGAAGCTCCACTCTTCTCTCCTCCCTCCTTCCTGTATTTATTACTTATTTAATGAATTTTGTTTTCCTCATGTAATGGTCGCACTCCAGTTTTGGGCTGATTTTCTTCCCTTTTTTTCTGAAGGCAAAGCAGTTTGAAAACTACAAAATGGAGATCCCTGAAGCTCCACTCTTCTCTCCTCCCTCCTTCCTCTATTTATTACTTATTTAATGAATTTTGTTTTCCTCATGTAATGGTCGCACTCTAGTTTTGGGCTGATTTTCTTCCCTTTTTTTCTGAAGGCAAAGCAGTTTTAAAACTACAAAATGGAGGTCCCTGAAGCTCCACTCTTCTCTCCTCCCTCCTTCCTGTATTTATTACTTATTTAATGAATTTTGTTTTCCTCATGTAATGGTCGCACTCCAGTTTTGGGCTGATTTTCTTCCCTTTTTCTTGGAAGGCAAAGCAGTTTGAAAACTACAAAATGGAGGTCCCTGAAGCTCCACTCTTCTCTCCTCCCCCCTTCCTCTGGGGCCTTAATGCCATTTGCAAAACCCGGAATGGAGTGCTTTGGAAAAAGGAAGAAGAAAGGACGATCTGAGCTCCAGAAGCCTCCATTCAAGGTTTTGTAAACTGCATAAAGACCTGGGAGGAAGGAAGAGAGAAGAGTGGAGCATAGGCTTGTGCAAACTTGGGCCCTCCCTCCAAGTGTTTAGGACTCCCACTCCCACAATTCCTAACAGCGGGTAGTCTAAAACACCGGGAGGGAAGGCCAAATTTGGCCCATGCCTGGCATAGCAGCCAACATGGACTCACATACTGGTTTCTGACCACATCTCTTCTTTCTGCCCCACCACTTTCCAGGTCAGCATTGAGGAGCAGCAGCAGGAGACACCCCCTCCCATTGGCCGGATCCATCCCCAGCAACTTTAATCCCCCCCCCCCCCCAAATTTTTACAAACTTCCCCCCCCCCAAAAAAAACCCCTTTCTGGCTTTTCAGAGAATAAAGTGTGCAGTGTATTTGCTGAAGCAAGGTCAATTCGTCCTCTTTGGCACCATACCTCAGTGCGATAGGACCGTGGGAGTTGTAGTTTGCAAGTTCTTGAGCCTTCTCAGCTGAAAATGGACCAGTTCCCCTCCAGACCACGACCCCCGAGGGTCCCGTTTTGGACAGCGGTGCTGGTGGAGGTGGAGAAGTCACCCTCCGTCCCTCCTTCCACCCAAAAGGTTTGTTTTGATGGAAGACCGAACCTGAGCATCGCTGGGCACCTCCACTCATCATCTTCAAATACCAAACTGGTTTTTACTGGGATGCTCCAGACTGAAGCAGTTGCAAAGAAGGTCATTCTCATTCTCCGCAGCTTCCCCCTGGCCTCCTTCCTCCCAGTCCCTGGATGTTGCTTTTAATGGGGTCTGGTGTGGAGAGGCCCAGAAGGAGGCCCAGTGGGGCCCCATCATCATCATCATCATCATCATCATCATCATCATCATTGTTGGGAATCAGAGCTGTTAGGCTCAAAATAACCCTCCGTTGGGGTGATTCCAGCATAAATATAGCAGAGTAAACTCCACAACCAACAGAAACTTATGTGCATGCCACTATCTCCTCTCCCTTTGAATACTTAGCAGTGTGATCTCTTTAGGGAAAACCTCTTTTAAGGTATTTTTATTGCTCTGGCGAGGCCATGTGTCTGGTGTGGAGAGGCCCAGAAGGAGGCCCAATGGGGCCCCATCATCATCATCATCATCATCATCATCATTGTTGGGAATCAGAGCTGTTAGGCTCAAAATAACCCTCCGTTGGGGTGATTCCAGCATAAATATAGCAGAGTAAACTCCACAACCAACAGAAACTTATGTGCATGCCACTATCTCCTCTCCCTTTGAATACTTAGCAATGTGATCTCTTTAGGGAAAACCTCTTTAAAGGTATTTTATTGCTCTGGTGAGGCCATATGTCTGATGTGGAGAGGCCCAGAAGGAGGCCCAATGGGGCCCCATCATCATCATCATCATCATCATCATCATTGTTGGGAATCAGAGCTGTTAGGCTCAAAATAACCCTCCGTTGGGGTGATTCCAGCATAAATATAGCAGAGTAAACTCCACAACCAACAGAAACTTATGTGCATGCCACTATCTCCTCTCCCTTTGAATACTTAGCAGTGTGATCTCTTTAGGGAAAACCTCTTTTAAGGTATTTTTATTGCTCTGGCGAGGCCATGTGTCTGGTGTGGAGAGGCCCAGAAGGAGGCCCAATGGGGCCCCATCATCATCATCATCATCATCATCATCATTGTTGGAAATCAGAGCTGTTAGGCTCAAAATAACCCTCCGTTGGGGTGATTCCAGCATAAATATAGCAGAGTAAACTCCACAACCAACAGAAACTTATGTGCATGCCACTATCTCCTCTCCCTTTGAATACTTAGCAATGTGATCTCTTTAGGGAAAACCTCTTTAAAGGTATTTTATTGCTCTGGTGAGGCCATATGTCTGATGTGGAGAGGCCCAGAAGGAGGCCCAATGGGGCCCCATCATCATCATCATCATCATCATCATCATCATCATCATTATAATTGTTGGGTAGAGTGGGGATTGGGGTGTGGGGTGGAGTGGGGGGTGGGGTGGGGGTGGGATGGAGTGAGGGTTTTGAATATGGTGGGGTGGGGGTGGGGGTGGGAGTGGGGGTGGGCGAAGGAAAGGGCCTGAGGCTGTGAGGAATGGGGGGAGTGGGAGCCCAAAACTCCTGGAAGGAGGGAGGGAGGGCTCAAGCTGGCCCAGGCACACACATTGCAGGGAAAGAGGCCCCGCCTGGAATCGGAAGGGACCCCCCAAGGCCACCCAATCTGGCCCCCGCCTGCCCTGACGCAGGGACAGCACCAGCAAAGCCCTCCTGACAGAGAGAGAGAGGAAGAACTACCTGGCGGCGAGAAGGGCTGCTCACACACGCTCAGCTGTTAGGAATGGTGGGAGTAGAGGCCCAAAACACCTGGAGGGAGGGCCCAGGTGTGCCCAGGTGTGGCCTGGCTTGGCCCCTTCCTTTCCCGGTAGTGACAACAACCATTCAAAGGAAAAAAGACCCCGCCTGGAACCAGAGAGTCGGAAGGGACCCCGCAAGGCCATCCAGCCTGACTCTCTTCTGCCTCAATGCGGGGAAAGCACCCCCAAAGCCGTCCCGACAGGTGACCCTCCTCCAGGCAGCCTGCCCAGCGGAGACCCGGCCGGCTTTTGTCGGGGGCGCTTGGAGGGCGGAGAGAAGCAAGGAGGGTCAGTCTGGATGTCCTCTGGGGGTCCCTCCGCCTTCTGCGAGCCCGAGAGAGGACAGGGTTTGGGGGACAAGGAAGGAGGGGGGGCCCAGGTGTGCCCAGGCTTGGCCCCTTCCTTTCCTTTCAAGGCAGACTGCAGGGAAAGAGACCCCACCTGGAACCAGAGAGTGGGAAGGGACCCCCAAGGCCACCCAGCCCGACCCCCTTCTGTCTTAGAATCCTAGAATCCTCAAAGAGTGGGAAGAGACCTGGGGGGCCATCCTCCAGCCCAACCCTATTCTGCCAAGAAGCAGGGGGTGCCGAAGTTTCCCCTTGCCTGCTGTAAGGCATTCTCTCCCTACTGACTTCTAAACGCTTACTGTTTCTAAAATGGAGTCTGAGTCCTGAATAGTCCCAGATCATAGAATCCTAAAAGAGTTGGAAGAGACCTGGTGGGCCATCATTCAGTCCAAGAAGCAGGGAAATTACATCCAAAGTACCCAGACAGATGGCCATCCAGCCTCTGTTTCAAAGCCTCCAAAGAAGGAGCCTCCACCACACTCTGGGGCAGAGAGTTCCACTGCTGAACATAGAATCATAGAATCAAAGAGTTGGAAGAGACCTCCTGGGCCATCTCCAGTCCACCCCCATTCTGCCAAGAAGCAGGAATATTGCATTCAAAGAACCCCCGACGGATGGCCATCCAAGCTCTCTTTAAATGCCTCCAAAGAAGAAGCCCCTACCGCCTTGATGCGGGGAAAGCACCACCAAAGCCCTCCCGACAGGTGACCCTCCTCTAGGCAGCCAGTCGAGGCAGAGGGAGAGCTCCCGACGGCGAGAAGGCTGCCCACTCCCTCTGCAGCCGAGTCTCCTTCTCGAGGGGCTTCCCAGAGGAGACTGTGCGGGCCTCTGTCGGGGGTGCTTGGAAATCTGGAGGGGGGGGGGGTCAAGAATGTCATGGGGTCTCTCTCCCCTCCCACTCACCTCCCCCCCCCCTTAGAATAGAAGCACTAGAATCACAGAGTTGGGAGGGACCCCCCAAGGCCACCCAACCCAAACCCTTTCTGCCCCGAAGGGACACCCGACCCAAGCCCTCCCGACAGATGCCCACCTGCCTCCAGCCTTGGCTTCAAAACCTCCTGAGAAAGAAGACTGGGCGGGACTCAAAGGGGGAGGGAGGGAGGGAGCAGCCCTTCCCACCTCCGGGGAACTCTCCCTCTGCCTCGGCTGGCTGGAGGGTCACCTGTCTGGAGGGCTTTGGTGGTGCTTTCCCTTCTTCAAGACCCAGCTCCCCCCCCTTCCCCCCCCCACCCCCCCCCCCCCCCCCCCCGCCCTTAGAAGAGAAGCACAGGATAACAGAGTTGGGAGGGAGTCCCCAAAGCCACCCAACCCACCCTTTCTGCCCCGAAGGGACACCCGACACCCGACAGAAGCTCACCAGGAAAAGAGGCCTGGTCTCGAATCAGAGGATCGCAGAGTCGGAAGGGACTCCCAAAGGCCATCCAGCCCGACCCCCTTCTGCCTGGATGCGGAAAAAGCACCACCAAAACCCTCCCGACAGGTGACCCTCCTTCCAGGCAGCCAGCCGAGGCAGAGGGAGAGCCCCCGACGGCGGAGAGAAGGGCTGCCCACTCTGCGGCGGTCTGGCGGAGACCCGGCGTACTTGGAGGGCGCCTTCCTCGGGGGCAGAGAGAAGCAAAGGGGGGGGGGGGTCGGTCTGGATGTCCCCTGGGGGTCCCCCCGCCTTCTTTGAGACCCGGGTTTGGGGAGCAAGGGGGGTCGTCGTGAAAAGAAGACACCACACGCTTGGAAGTCTGGACAACATATAAATATTAAAAGAGAGCGGAGCCCCCCTGGGGGTCGCGGAAGGAGAGAGAGAGAGACCCCCGAGAGAGAGTCAAGAGCGGAAGGGAGCCCCAGGGGAGTCTTCCTTCCTTCCTTCCTTCCTTTCTTTCTCCATCTCTTCCTTCATCTCTCCCTTCTCGCTTTTCTTCCTCCCTCCCTTGCTTCCGTGTTGGGGGGTCTCTCGAAGGGAGAGTCCCCCGAGAGAGAGAGACTCAAGAGCCAGCGGGAGCCCCAAGGGAGTGTTCAGGGCTCGGAGTTCCTTCCTTCCTTCCTTCTCTTTCCTTCCTTCCCTTCCTCCAGTCTTTCCTTCCTTCCTTCCTCTCTTCCTTCCTCCTTTCCTTCCTTCCTTCCTTTCTCCTTTCCTTCTCCTTCCCCCTCTTCCTCCTCCTTTCCTTTTTCTCTCTTTCCTCCTTGGCTTCCTTCCTTCCTCCTTCACTTCCTTCCGGCGGCGTCGAGGAGGACCCTGTTCTTGCGGGCTTGCTCCTGGAGGCTCTGGGCTCGGGAGAGGGCGACCATCTCCCGGAGGAGCAGGAAGGGCACGTCCAGCGAGAGAGGCGGGTTGGCGGCCGGGGAAGGCGAGAAGGAAGGCGAGGGGCGCTTCCGGAGGAGGAGGAGGAGCAGCCCCCCGCCCTGGGACCGGGCCCGGACCCTGCCACCGCCGCCCAGGCCCCCTCTCCGCCCGAGCCCGGCCACCGGAGGGCAGGCCACCAGGAGGACCCCCACCAGCAGGAGCCACAGCAGGAGGAGGGCCGAGGAGAAGGGGGCCGGGGGGCGCATCCTCACTCAGCCCCGGAGGAGCAGGAGGAAGAAGAAGGTGGTGGTGGTCTTGGAGGTGGTGGTGCAGGGTCTTCTTCCCGGGCTCTCTCTCTCTCTCTCTCTCTCTCTCTCTTTGGCCGCTCTCCCTCGGACCTTTATACGCTCCGTCCATTCATGCCGGAGCGCCATTGACGTCAGCAAAGGACCAAGTGGGAGGGGGGGGGGGGAAAGGAGGGCCCCCCCCCCCCAAGCAGACCCAGGTCCCCGGAAGAAGCCCTCAACCATTCAAATCAGGAGCGACATCCCTTTGGCAGGGTATAAATAAAGTTTTATTATTATTATTGTATTGTCGAAGGCTTTCATGGCGGGAATCACTGGGTTGTTGTAGGGTTTTTCGGGCGATATGGCCATGGTGTGGAGGCATTCTCTCCTGACGTTTCGCCTGCATTTATTTATTTACTTCACTTGTATACCGCTCTTCTCAGCCCTCAGGCAACTCAGAGCAGTTAACAACCAATTCAGTACAAAACAGATAATTAATCAATTAAAACAGCAGCATCAAAACATCAGTCCAACAATACAGGAAAACAACAATCCATCACGTCTCATCAATAGAATCAGCATCCACTCTCATTGTCCATTAATCCATATTCCAATAGTCAATCAATTGCACTGCTTAGTTGAAAGCCTGATCGAAGAGCCAACTACAAGAGAGGAGATTCCACCTGAACATGAGGAAGAACTTCCTGACTGTGAGAGCCGTTCAGCAGTGGAACTCTCTGCCCCAGAGGGAGTGTGGTGGAGGCTCCTTCTTTGGAAGCTTTGAAACAGAGGCTGGATGGCCATCTGTCAGGGGTGCTTTGAATGCAATATTCCTGCTTCTTGGCAGAATGGGGTTGGACTGGATGATGGCCCAGGAGGTCTCTTCCAACTCTTTGATTCTAGGATTCTATGATCTTATACCAGTTTTTGATGACTTCTAAAGATTTGGAGACGATCTAATGTCCGTGGGAAGGGCATTCCACAGCGGAGGGGCCACCACCGAGAAGGCCCTATCTCTCGTCCCCGCCAGCCGAGCTTGTGAAGCCGGCGGGATCGAGAGCAGGGCCTCCCCGGAAGATCTCAATGTCCTAACTGGTTCATAGGAGGAGATGCGTTCGGACAGGTAAGTCGGGCCAGAACCGTTTAGGGCTTTAAAGGCTAAAGCCAGCACTTTGAATTGTGCCGGTAGCAAACTGACAGGCGGTGGAGTTGCGCAACAGAGGAGTGGTATGCTCCCTGAGTGCCGCTCCTGTTAGCATCAATCGTTGGACCATTTGAAGCTTCCGAGCAGTCTTCAGAGGCAACCCCACGTAGAGAGCGTTGCAGTAGTCTAAACGGGATGTAACCAGAGCGTGGACTACACTGGCCAAGTCAGACTTGGATCCACCTGGTTATAAATATTTAGGTTGTATTATTTTTGCTCTTTTCCAAGCCAACAAACAAACTCCAGGAGGCCAAGTGGAAGGTCACAGCAGTTTATTTCACACAAGATGCCCAGGGACAGCAAAGGGGGCCTATCCCCCAACCTGCCCCAAAGGAGACCAAAAGCCCAGGTTGGGGGGGAGATGGACGGATGGGTGACGGAAGCCTCTCCCCAGACACGTCAGCTTGGGCTGCAGCTGGGCTCGTGGCTCGGAAGTGCAAGAGCTGGAAGAGACCACAGATGGCCATCCAGCCTTTGAAACAGAGGCTGGATGGCCATCTGTCGGGGGTGCTTTGAATGCGATTGTCCTGCTTCTTGGCAGAATGGGGTTGGACTGGATGGCCCACGAAGTCTCTACCAACTCTAGGACTCTACAAGAGGCCATCTAGTCCAACCCTTGCTTTGCAGAGGGACACCATCACCCCTGAGATGGGGGTCCTGGACTTGCAGCAAGGCAGTGGCCAAGCACCCCCCCTTCTCCCAATGTCCAGGGCAGAGGGGGCTCCACTGACCACATACTAGCCAACTGGACCCTGAAGGCTGCTGGATGCATGGGTTTGCACCTGGTGCTCACTGGACGGATCTTGAGCTCCAACATCCACAATGTGTTTGTTTGTGGAGCATAAGGTCATGGGGTGAGGGAGAGTCTAAGGGGGGTGTTCATCTCTTGGTGACCCCCCCAACTTTGCCATCCATCTTGCTTCCTCAGAGTTGGTTGGTCTTCCAGGAGAGGTAGGCGTTCCAGACGATGGCCACAACCTGGACAACGGCCAGCCTGCAAGGGGAGGGGAGAAGAGGGGAGGGTCAAAGGTCAGTGTCCAGGGAGGGGACAGAAGGGGGGGGATAGGAGGAGCAGGTAGAGGGACGTACCTGTGGTTCAAGGGGACGAAGTAGAAGTTGGCGACTTGCACAGCCGGCCAGATCTGAGACAAAGAGAAAGAGGGAGATGGAGGGGAAGCACAGGCCAAAGGTCATTGGGGGTCTCCAGCCCACCCTCACCCACCCCCAGCCCTCAAAGCCCAATGTCACCATTGAAGGCCTACTCACATAGTAGTTGGTGATCAGGGCATCTGCGTAGTCCTGCAAGAGAGCAGTCAGGATCAGGTAGGCTACCTGAGGCAGGAGGGCCACTCCACCCCACTGGTTCAGAGTGGCCCTGCTGTACTGTGGCTCCCATCAGCCCCAGGCACACAAGGAAGGGTGGCTGGGGGGGGGGGCTGAGCTGCCCATTCCTTTTCGAGGGGCAGGAGAGTCCTGAATCAGGGACCCCTCCCTCCCTCCCTCCCTCCCCAGTGCCAATATTTGTTTGTATATGGGTAGATTTTAAATTATATTGAAATGCTTTGAATGTCAGCTGCTTGGAGAGAGAAAGTGAGGGATCAATAATAGTATATTTATTGTCGAAGGCTTTCATGGCTGGAATCACTAGGTTCTTGTGGGTTTTTTCGGGCTATATGGCCATGTTCTAGAGGCATTTCTCCTGACGTTTCGCCTGCATCTATGGCAAGCATCCTCAGAGGGAGTGAGGTTGTTACGCCAGGTCCACTGGCTGCCAATTAGCTTCCGTGCACAATTCCAAGTGCTGGTGTTAACCTATAAAGCCCTAAACGACTCTGGCCCTGTTTACCTCTCTGAACGTATTCTCCCCTGTGAACCATCTAGGTTGTTAAGATCGTCTGGAGAGGCCCTGCTCTCGGTCCTACCGGCCTCTCAGGCGCGTCTGGTGGGGACGAGGGACAGGGCCTTCTCGGTGGTGGCCCCTCGACTCTGGAACTCTCTCCCACTGGAGATCAGAACCGCCCCTTCTATCCTGACATTTAGGAAACAGGTGAAGACTTGGTTATGGAGACAGGCATTCGACGAGTGAGCCAACACCCTGAGATATGGATGGAGGATGATGAGCAACGATTTTAGTATGACGACTGACCATTGTAGTTATTGATTGTAATTGCTGTTTTAATGTTTTACTGTAATATGTATTATGATGTTTTATTGATTGTATGTGATATTATGGTTGGAAACCGGTCTGAGTCTCTCAAGAGAGGTGAGAAGGCCGGTATACAAAACTTTTAAATAAATAAATAAAAATAATTGAGCCATCATGGATCCCATGGGAGCAAGAGGGTTACCAAAATAAAAAAGTCAAAGTCTGGGAAACAGTTTGTGATTAGTTAAGCAGTTCCATCAGACTGGAAAAAATCAACTTATATCCCATACCAAAAAAGGGAAATGCGAAAGACTGCTCAAACTTCCGTACAGTGGCCCTTATTTCTCATGCCAGTAAAGTAATGCTCAAGATCCTGCAAGGAAGACTCCAGCAATACATGGAGCGAGAGTTGCCAGATGTTCAAGCTGGGTTTAGAAAAGGCAGAGGAACGAGAGACCAAGATTGCCAATATCCGCTGGATAATGGAGAAAGGCAGGGAGTTTCAGAAAAACATCTACTTCTGCTTCATTGACTATTCTAAAGCCTTTGACTGTGTGGATCATAATAAATGGTGGCAAGTTCTTGGTGGGATGGGCATCCCAAGCCCCCTCCCCTCTCTCCTGAGGAATCTGTACAAGGACCAAGGAGCAACAGTCACAACTGACCACGGAACAGGAGACGGGTTCAAGATTGGGAAAGGCGTCCGGCAAGGCTGCATCCTCTCACCCAACCTTTTTAACTTGTATGCAGAACACATCATGCGAGGATGTGCGGGGCTGGATGAATGCAAAGCTGGGGTGAAAATTGCTGGAAGAAACATTAACAACCTCAGATATGCAGATGACACCACTCTGATGGCCGAAAGCGAGGAGGAGCTGAGGAGCCTTCTAATCAAGGTGAAAGAAGAAAGCGCAAAAGCCGGGTTGCAGCTAAACGTCAAAAAAACCAAGATTATGGCAACAAGAATGATTGACAACTGGAAAATAGAGGGAGAAAATGTGGAGGCCGTGACAGACTTTGTATTTCTAGGTGCAAAGATTACTGCAGATGCAGACTGTGGCCAGGAAATCAGGAGACGCTTCCTTCTTGGGAGGAGAGCAATGTCCAGTCTCGATAAAATAGTAAAGAGTAGAGACATCAGACTGGCAACAAAGATCCGCCTAGTCAAAGCCATGGTATTCCCTGTAGTCACCTACGGATGTGAGAGCTGGACCTTAGGTAAGGCTGAGCGAAGGAAGATCGATGCTTTTGAGCTGTGGTGTTGGAGGAAAGTTCTGAGAGTGCCTTGGACTGCGAGAAGATCCAACCAGTCCATCCTCCAGGAAATAAAGCCCGGCTGCTCACTGGAGGGAAAGATACTAGAGACAAAGTTGAAGTCCTTTGGCCACATCATGAGGAGACAGGAAAGCCTAGAGAAGGGAATGATGCTGGGGAAAGTGGAAGGCAAAAGGAAGAGGGGCCGACCAAGGGCAAGATGGATGGATGGCATCCTTGAAGTGACTGGACTGACCTTGAGGGAGCTGGGGGTGGTAACGGCCGACAGGGAGCTCTGGCGTGGGCTCGTCCATGAGGTCACGAAGAGTCGGAGACGACTGAACGAATGAACAACAACAACATATTGCATTATTAGTAACAGTAATAATAATAATCTGCCCTCTTTTGGGGGACAAAGCATAATATTATAAATATTATATGTATATAAAATATATTATTATTATTATTATTATTAATACTACTACTACTACTAATAATTATTATTATTATCTGCCCTCTTTTGGGGGACACAAAGCATAATATTAAAAATATTATATGTATATACAATATATTATATTACAATAATAATAATAATAATAATAATAATAATAATAATAATGTTTTGGGGGACAAAGCATAGCAGCAGAAAACGTTGGGACAGAGGTCAAGGGGGTCAGGGAGGTGAGTGTATGTGTGTGGGAGGCCCAGGAGAGAAGGAAGTGGGGTGTAAATAACTACAACAGCTTAGGACTACTACTACTACTACTACTACTACTACTACTACTCCAGTCCAGAAACCACGAATGAGGTGCTCTTCCATGCTCCACCATGACCCAGCCCCCTTTTCATTCAGATCCCCAGTGGGGTGGATGCCCCATTTGGGCAGTATGTGGGGCAGGGGGTCTCTGGGGGGCCCTCCCTTCCAAAAGGAGGCATCCGGGGAGGGAGGGAGGGAGGGAGGGGTCCTTCCAAAGGCGCTCCCTCCCTCCCGCCGTGCGTCATCCCTGCTGAGCAAACAGCTTCACCACCGCCTCTGGTGTCCGGCCTCGCTGGGCCTGCTTGGCTGGACAAACAGTGGACGGGGGACAGCCAACAGAGCCCTCTCGCCTCCGACGCCTCTCATGAATACCAGGCGGAGGAAAGGGGTGCCGGGTCAAGATGACCACTCTCATTCAGCTGTCCGATTGTCCGGAGGGAGGTCCAGCCATGCCAACTGGGAACGATATCAAGCGGTCAAGGAGGCGGGAGGCAGGGTGGCCCCAAAGGATTGAATGCGGCCTTTGAATGGGGAGTCATGTCCACCTGAATGTCCATCCCATGCATGTGTATTTCGGGAGGCGGAGAACGCCTCCCAGTTTAGAAGGCCCACCTCCAGACTTCCTGAACTGGGCAAAAAGGGAGAGGCGGGGGGTCCAACTCAGTGGCAGCAAAGAGAGCCCTCCCCACCCCCTGGATTCAAAAAGTGACTCCCTTCCATAAACAACTTGAGGGAAAGGAGATGGAGAGACTTTATCCTTTCATTTCCCACTTTAATATAGAAGGAATTTAAAGAAAGCGGGAGGGAGCACGGGCACGGAAGATTGAGAGGTGGCAGTAGGTAGAGGATAAGAGGGCTGGGGGAGCAAGGGGAGGTAAATGCGAGGAAAGGATGGGGGAGAAAGGAAAAGAGGGGTAAGAATAGGTACGGGGATAGAAAAGTGGGGGGGGAGAGGGAAATGGAGGGGAAGGAGGGTGGGAGAAAAGGGAGGGAGAGGGAAAAGTGCGGAGTGGAAAATGACGGGTGTATACAAGTGAGGGTGAGGGAAATGTGGGTAACGTATGGTGTTGATAAAGTGACTGAAATGACAGTACAAGGAGGGTTGAGGACTGGTACTTGTATGAGTTAACGTTCGTAGTCACACTTGAGTTTTTCTCCAAATGGCGCTTGCATCACATTCAAAATGGATTGTTCCATTATTTTTAGCTTGCACATGAACCGGGAACTTGAAGCCCTGCCGTATGCCTTTCCCAATCTTGAACCAGTCTGTTGTTCCATGGTCAGTTCTTACTGTTGTTACTTGGTCCTTATACAGATTCCTCAGGAGAGAGATAAGGTGATTTGATATGCCCATACCACCAAGAACTTGCCACAATTTATTATGATCCACACAGTCAGAGGCTTTAGAATAGTCAATAAAACGGAAATAGATGTTTTTCTGAAATTCCCTGCCTTTCTCCCTTATCCAGCAGATATTGGCAATTTGGTCTCTCATTCCTCTGCCTTTTCTACACCCAGCTTGTACATCTGGCAACTCTTGGTTTTCGTTATATATATTATTAAAAACTGTTTTCCGTTTGTTGCTTTTGTTTTCTTTAACTTTCTCTCTCCTTATTTCTGAAATATCATGTTTATTATGACTACCAGTTGCATCTGGAGGATCCTATAACCCACCTGTACCGGGCATAAAAGCCTGTGTTGGCTGCATGCTTTTTGATCATTTTGAGCTGTAATAGACAAAATGCAGTAGATTTCATTTCTGTGATCCATAACCTGTACATTAATATCATAGAATTTCCTCCCCCTCCTCCCCTTCCCTGTTTTCCACCGGTAGATTTGAAAAAGAACAAATGAGAAGTGAACAGTTTCCCTGTCAGATTATAATATATCTCAAGAGCCAGGTGTGAACTATTAAAGTGTTACTCTATCATAATGGAAAGAATTAAGATATACCATTTCCTAAATGGGAGAGCGCATCCTTTCATTTTCTGTGGTGATCTCTTCATTTTATTTATTTGCTAGAGTTTTGAATTTCCATTTCTAAAAATGTACTGAAAAGTTTTTGCAGTTAGCTAAATGAAGGAAAACACCAACATCCTCTTGAAATGAAGTAGTACAGATGAGGCTGTTAGTTTCCACTTTATGAACATTCTTGATTACTAAAAATTATGCCAACTTTTTATCTCAAAGTATTAACCTTGGAAAATTTTTCAAAGTGGTTAACATTAGTGACTCCTGTAACTAAGAAGATATCAGATAATATGATGATTTTCAGGAGTTATAATGTGTATGATATACAAATCCACTGTATAGATGGAATTGTAAAATAAAGAAGAAAATGAAGTTAATCTCACCTTAAAACAGGCAGTTCTGTTTTAAAACAACCATTTGCTACTGACAAAAAGAACTTGGGATTTGATTTTTTTTCTAGGCTTTTACATACAATTCTCATCCAGTTAAATCACTTATTGGTGTTCATAGGAGCCAAACTTCATCGAGTAGGGAGTTTGTTGATAGTTAGGTCACTGCTACACAGAAAGCCCTATAATATGTACCCAACTTAACATCACAAAATGTTGAGACATGGAACAGGGCCTCTGTAATAGATCTACCTTTCAGTCGGCTAGGCCGAAGCCTGCATGGCAATGGCTGGCATCTTGGTAGTCAAGCAGAGCAGGAGGAGGAGTCAGGCTGACTCCTGATTGGGTGTAGCAATTGGGGGAGGAGTCAGCTTAGAGAGGGAAAATAAGCTGCCAGTTTTGACACAAAAGGGAGAAGAGTCTTAGATAGAGACAGAGAAGGGTGTGGATTTTGGAGATAGGAAGTTACAGCAGGGAACTGACAGGAGAAGAAGAGCTTTTAGTGAGCCTCTAGGTTTGGGAATGAAGACATTAGGCTAGAGTTTTACTACGTTGAGAGAACTAGTAAAAGAGAGCTGTGTCTTATTAAACTTAAGAGAGGTTTAAAGATACCTTATAGCCCAGTGAGTGAGGCAGACTGGAGTCTGTGCTCTAAGAGAAACTGTGTCTAAAAGTAGAGCAGTTTGTTAAAGGGACTCACAGCTGAAAAAGCTATTCTGTCAGGGGAACTGTTTGTTTAAGCAACCAAGTTACTGCAATTGCATCACGCTTCTGTACCACTCATTTCTATGAGTTGTTGTTAATATAAAGTTCAATAAACTCTTTCTAGTTAACTTTTAACTGGTGTATGCCTCAATCTATACGTTTCCTCAGAACTCATTCTGTCAAACCATTTTAAAGTCCAGTCAGCTAGTGAGGAAGCCATAGAAGATCAAGAGCTCAAACACCCCTTACCTACATTCACACCTTTGGTTCCTCAGGCCAATAATTCTGAGGTGGCGGCGGCTAATACTAC